TTTGGGGTTCCAGCACAGTGGTGTCGTTGTCTCTCTAGTAGTTGAGCTTCTCCTTTGACTGCTTTTCTTTTTCTTCTCCAGTCACTTATGTTTGCCAGGGTTTTGGGGTTAACTGAAGAGAGGTTTAAATACATCTCTTCAACCGATTTGGGTTGTTCATCCCAAGAGGTGTGGAGGCATGTGGACTGTTCGATCGCGTTATTTGGAGAATTCATCCACATCATATGATCTGGGAGACTTGGAGGACACATACCATCTGATTGGGCCTGTTTAAGAAGTCGATCTGGGCCATTCACGCGTGCATGAGTGGTTATGAGTGGTCCGATCGGTCTAACAGGTGGATTGCCAGCGTGGGCTTCCCGCGTGGAGCCCGTGTTGACGTGGCCACAACGTAGCGTGCAACAATTTGTTGCGTTGTTGATTGGGCGTCCACGTGGGCCCTTTTTTCCCTTTTTGCGAATTGACCATTACCTTCTGAATTTCTTTTCAAATAGGTCGCTCCTTATTTACAGTTGTGGCTAACCTTATGAATTTATTTTTCTTAAATGCTAAAATTAACCATTTAATTATTTCTTTGTAATTTACCGATAAATTAATTTTTATTTACTTGTTCCGTAATAGAATAGAAAACAAAAGGAGATGAATGAATGAAAATTCACTAGATTAAACGAAATGAAAGTATTTAGGGTGTTACACAATCTCCCATGAAGAATCGCCAAAGTTAATATTATTCTCAAATCTTTCAACTTTTTAAATTTTGATCAAAATATGGAGATTGAAATTGTAAGGTGCAATCCACGTTTTTTGATAGATCCACATGTTCCTTGTCCACCATATACCCTAAAATATAGGGATAAATTATATTATGATTAATATGTGTACGTATCACTCAATTCTTGATTCAATTGTGGAACTTATAGGTAGCATAAGTTCCTACATGGGGATTGGATGTTATTGAAGCAATCAATCAATCCAAAGGTGTAAAATGAGCATAAGTTTATTTTGGTGACCGTTGATTACTTCTCAAAGAGGGTTGATGCGACTTCTTATGTTAGTGTGACTAAAAAAGTCCATTACTTCTCAAAGCATAAATTATATTAGGAATTAATATCTATATACTTATTAGTGATATAAGTTTATTATTATTTTTTTAATTAGGCCTTGTTTAGTTATTCTCTACTATAAGTTACTCAAATAATTACTTTCTCTGTTTTATAAAATCACTAAAAGTCTTAAAAATTTCAATTTTCATTATATTTCCATACATATCTAGTTTAATCATTTAGTAAATTATTCATGAATTATTAATTTAATTATTAAATTCTGAAATCCCTAAATTTGATTCTTAATAAATTTTCTGGAATCATTGTACTTAAGCTTTCTTTACCCTACATCACCATATATTAACATCTGACTTACCCTCAATCATATAGCATGAAGCAGCTTCTGTAAGTTAATTCATCCTTGAAAAGCAATTAAACAAGCACTGACAATAATCTCCAAGTGCAAAACTCTGTTCTTTGGTTTCTTCAGTTAAAGAGTAAAAGTTTTACATTGCGAACCCTAAAAATCCCAAGTTACGATAATAAGATGGCAATAATAATAAGGTATCACCAAAAACAAAAAACCTATTTATCTATCAGATATAAACCTCATAACAACTTACAACCATACATGTAAAACATACAAAATAGACTGATAGTTTTGTGTGATTTTTTTATTAAAAAGGTGTTAATACAAAAAAAAGAACAAAAGAATTATGTTTGTGTTAAAGCAGACTCTTAAAGACAGAATAATGAAGATACACTAACTAGGTATCATACATAAGAGCCTCCCACTTTTCCATTTTTCGCTGTATTGATCTCGAGCACCAAGAACCTACAGCCAAACAGCCACAGGCAGAAGAGAAGCACATCTTTTCTTCAACCTTTGGCCGCAATGAAGCTGGTAAATTCACTCAGCAATTGCAACTTCTGTCATTTGTGAGGATATTACTTTCAATACATAACCCGTTCCACAGATTCAGGCTCTTCAGGCCTTCAAACATTTCAATTAGATCTCTGCTTCAATGATCATTCAGAGACAAACTGGGTCATCTGCAAGTAAAAGAACATTTATCTCCCTGCCTAGATCACTAGTGTGACCACTTTCAAGCTAGCAAAATGATTTATAATGTTGGATAAAATGCAGGTCTCAACTCCAATGTGCGCGAATTTTCTTGAAGACCTTATTGCACGACGTAATAACTAAAAAAGACAACTGATATATACATAAATATGATAAAACAAAATAAAGAACACAACGGTTACCTTTCAGTAAATCAAGTACAAGGAGGAGGGAAAAATCTTGACAAAGCTACTTTTAGAGAATCACTTTTGCTCTCTAGACAACTTCCTTAAGTGAAAGAGCGTCATCACGCGGATGCGCTTCTTCCACTCGAACTTCTACTTCATCTCCTATCTGTGTCCCTATTGACACCCATGCAGATCCTTGAAGTCCCACCTGCAAATATTACTCATTACTTCCAGCAATATTACTGCAAGACAAGGAACAAAGAATGTGCCATGAACAAAATTATAAAATTTCACATCTTTTATCAGAAATAATGGGCTTTCATTTCCCATGATTTGTTCACAAGTGAACCTCATGGTTTGATCTTTCAGTCACTATGATAGTCCAGAATTCAGGATCCAGGAATTCTTTCAAAATTTTGATTGAAATTTTAGAAATCACACATAAGGTTCTTAAGCATCACATCTAAAAAAATTTTAAGTATCGAATTCAAAAATTTGATTGCATCACCACAACCAAAAAATTGAGAAACTCTTAAAATATTTTTTAAAATAATTGAATGATAATCAAGGAGATCATGAAAGTACTTATAGAGAGTTAAGTAACTCTTTCTTGAATAAGATTAGACTAGTAAATGTTCAATTCATATTAGAATACTACTCCTGATAAGATAAGAAATACTGACACCACTAAAATTAAATTATGAATAACATTACTTATAGGAATAAGAAAACTAAATGCTACTAACAATAAAATATCAAAATTACCATATCTCTAATAATAGATTCTTAAATGGTACAATAGTTTTATATTTAATGGAATTATGATTTATAATCTATTTAGATAATCTATAGCTAATTCATTCTGCATTACTTGGGGCTATAATAGATGTACGGCTTAGGTATTTACTTTTATATATTGTGTATTGTATATCTCATTGTTTGATGCTTGATTATGATAGGGTGACATCTGAGGCAGATGGTAGGCCAAATTGCATTTGTCATAGTTAAGATGTCAATCTCTGGATTAGATAGGAGATGTTGCCTGACATCTTTGCTAAACCTTACATAGTTTCCAAACATGTTACTACAATACTCAGTGATGCACTTACAAGGCATCCAGATTGTATTTCAATGGTTCCAAACTTTTATCCAGGTGGCTATTTCTGTAGAATATCTATACTAACGTGTGAGCTAGATATTGTATTCCTTAGAACTTTGAGCTCATCGGTTTTTGTATAGCAAAGACTTGAAGCATGGGCAAAAATCCATGCTTACACCCCCTTGTACTTTCCTAATTTAATATTATCCAGAAACATAAACTCTTATTTTTTCAGCTAAGAATTTACCTACTTTAGGTAACTTAAAGCACCTACTTGCTTAAGACACATTTCTTTCTGCAATCTCAAACACTCTCTAACTCGTTGCTTTTTATCCGCCTAGACATGATTTTCATGATTGGAAAGCTTCAAACTTTAATTCGAAGTTTTTCATGTCTCGTTTGACTTCTTGCTTTGTGTCAATATGTTATGGTCCCAAATTTGGGATTGACTCATAGTTTACTGAGTGCAAATAAGTATAATTAC